CAGGAGCCGATCCCGGGGGCCTCATAGCGCTGTTCCTCATAAGCAGCTGGTTATTCTTCTCAGCGAGGAGAAGACAGGACAACAAGTCTTCGTACAATGTGTGTTTCATTGCACGGTATTGTTGTTGGAGCACAACATTCTCTGTGCTGAATGTGGATAATGTTTTCTCGAGGAGATCATTATCTGTCACATCCTCGCCACAGAGTTTCCGGATGGCAACAATACGAAAGAGTTCGTTGTTGTAATCATCTACGGATTTGTAGTCCTGGAACCGAAGGTTCTTCCAGTCGAAATCTGCCTGAGGCAACTGGACCATTTTCTGATGGTCATATCGCTTTTTCAGCGCTTGCCACAATTCAAGTGGATTCTCAAGAGTGAGATATTGCTGCTTAAGGCTCGGGGCCAGATGATGGCGTATGTGACATATCGCCTGAGACTGTCCCTTACGGGATGCGGTGTTACCGTCGGTAATACACGCATCGAGTTCTTTCGATTCAAGGAACAAGCGCATGTCTAGGGCCCACTCGAGGTAGTTATCTCCGGAGACGTGAAGGGCCTCGAATTCACATTTCTGAATGTTTGACATCTGAAACATGAGATTGATTTTGTTAGGGATTGTTTTGAGAAAATTTTGAATGCTGATGATGAAACTTTCTATTTTGAGAATATTTCTATTTTAGGAAAGTTTCTAAATTTGGAAAGTTTCTAATTTGGGTAATTTTCTAAATGAAGAAAGTTTCTATGTCGGGAAAATTTCTATATGAGGAAAGTTTTTATATGAGGAAACTTTCTATTAGAGGGAACTTTCTCGGAAATAGTAAATTTTAAAGGGTATGGTTTTAGTTACCCCGAACATGATGTCGGTTTAATAGCTGTGATTTAATCGGTAAAAGCCGAATATAATTTTGGTTAACGAGAACCAGGTTTAGCCGGTTTTAGGCGGTTTAGGAGGAACCCTAGGGGAGCCGAATATGATTAGGGTTTTATCTAGGGTTTTAACGGTTTGGAAAACATATTTTGGATGTGATTTCGAGATCTATAGGATCTGTGGTCGATGGTTGTAATAATTTCACAAGGACAACAAAGAAATCACGTGAAAAGGACTAGGGTTTAAGCATTATGACTTACGATTTTGAAGATTACAAAATCGTGAATCAAGCTTAGGATTTAGGGTTGATTTTCTTAGTTTATTCAATCAAGTGTTTCAAGCAAGAGAATCAACAATCAAATAAGCTGCAACAAGCTTATTAAACATGAAGAAAATTGAATAGGTTTATGCCATAAACATGGCCAAAAACGGTTGTTAGGTTTTTGTAGATTAGGGTTTTATAAAACGAGTTTAAAACCTTTGAACATGCATAAACTTGTAATTTAAACAATCAATCAACAAGTTATCAATCAATCATCAGAGTATCAAACACTTTCAATCAATTAGAGATCGATTTTTTTTTTTTTTATAGGGTTTTGAAGTGTTTAAACAACAGGTTCTATGGCTCTCAGTTTTAGAAGATACCTTTTCCACCTTTGGATTTCTGACAGGCTAATGAAACTGGGAGCTAATAGACCTCAGTTAGCCGCTACAAATTCCAAGGATTGATCACCAAAACTGGAGAAGCTGCTGGTTGAAGAAGGAAAAACTCGGATCTGGTTTTTTTTTTTTTTTTTTTTTTTCTCGGTTGATCGTCGTGTACTGTAAGTGTGCGTGAGGGCGCGTCCGACGTTGGATCGACAAAAAGGTTTTCACCAGTAGATTCGTCTCGTCGAGGGCTTCGATTTGATATGTAGATCGTCTTCTGGTTCCTCACGGTTTGGAAGATATGCGTCTTTTAAGTTTCGACTTGCTTTTAGGGTTTTGGTGGTGGCCGGATTTATTAGGGTTTTTCGCTCAGAGAGTCTTATCGTGCTGATAACGTGTTGTGAAAACTTAGAAACTTTATTAATCATTGGAATGTATATATAGAGTACATAGGGAATCTAGGTTAAGTACAATGCTCTGATGGGCCTAATGGGCCGGTATAAGAGTCCATATATGATATGTGTTATAACAACATACAGTCAAATAGTTACCAGTATTTTAACAATTTCTGTATTTATCTAAAAATTTATAAAATAGTTGTTGTAAATAATATTTAATTACTTGATTGTCTCCGAGAAATTGTGATTCCGACCCAGTCTAATGACTCTCTAATCTTACGTCTACCGCACAACATGCTAATTATTTAAAGCATAATCAGGTACACAATAATGAAATCTTAAGAGAAATTATTTTGGGAGGTTATAACTAAAAAGAATCATCCGGTGCGGAAGCCACGTCATACCTGATGGAGATTGCTACCATAACGACGAAACTACCGTTAGAACCATCTTATTTAAAAAAAAAAAAACAAAACACAAATTGGTACAAAGAACATGTCTTGTTAGAACCAGCTTGAAACTACCCTTTATTATTTGTTTCTTTGCGGGCTCTCATCTTATATCATATCCCGACAAGACCTGTTGGAAGTTTAATTTACAACACTACCCATACATGTTTATATGATTTTTTATAAGCTATTGGCCTATTTTGTAAACAACTGATAAAAATATCTTCAAATAACGTTTTCGTAACATATGATTGCAAGTATCATTGGAAAGGTTATTTAACAAAATCAGCTCATGTTTACATATATAATTCTTTTTTTAAACTATCTTTACATATAATTTTACGCAAAGATTCATAGATTCACTCGCTTAACATAGTTTTAGATCTTCATATACAAATGGACTGTAGAGATGAAAATAATAGTTTTATTCTATTAAATGATTATGTCTTTTGATTTTTCTAGTTTAAGATTGGGAATCCATATTCATCCGGTTGATCGATCCAAAAGATTATTTGGAAAACAAGAAGTATAAGATTCAAGGCATATTTTGTTCAAAAAAATTTACTGTATAAGATTAGTTGGAAAAACAAAGATAATTGATTAAGAGAGGGAGAAAAAACTATATTTACATACAAGTGCGTGTCTATTATGCAATTGGTGTTAGTGCACTGTGCAAGGTGACAAGCATAACAATTTATACAACAAAGGCGGCTACAATCTCTTTTGTTGGATCCGCATGACTAATAACTTGTATTGCTCTATTAAAAATATTTATCATTTATGGATATTAGGGTAAAACTTTTTACCTACGAACTTTACAGAACCTACATTTCAGTATTTCACCAATCACATGACTTGTTTAGTTATTTATATATATAAATTTTAGTCTGTGATATAGTCACCGACTGTGGATCTCACTCAATATGTTTTCGTCTAATGATGAAAGCATATTCTTAATACGACGTAGTATGTTTGAACACAGACGTTGTAGGATCTATATCTTTCATTGCATATTAATTCTTTTATAAAATAAATAAATTTAAGATATACAGTGTGCGTTTGCACCAAAAAAAAAGCATCCAGTGGTTAAAAGAAAAAGTAAATGTTTCAAGGGTTCAAACTTCATATCATATTGTTTTGGTAGGTTGTGAACATATTTTTAAGAAGGCGTATGGATTCTATTGTCCATTCGATGATCATTGTGATCCTAATATTGGACTTTACAACTTTTTTTCTAAATATGAGTTTGAAATATAGAAGACCCCAACATGTGTGTGTTGAATCTAAAGTTTATGTGAAAGTAGATATGGCCTTCTGTAACTTTTACGGGATTGAAGGGCTCTTATTGGGTGGGCCACAGTTGGTGGGCATTGAGTATCTCTTTTCCTTTGGGCTTTCACGCGCCGACCTTGTTTACGTTGTTATTATTTATTTATTACTCCTAGTTTTTTCGTTGGTTTTTTTTCCAAATTCAAAACTCAGAAGTTATAAATTCTATTTTATATATATAGAAAAAATAAAAAGATAAATTGAAAGCTCAAGACATTTGAGCCGAAACACTCGTCAGGTCCCAGGATAGTAAATTTGTATATATCTAACAGACAACCACACACGAAATTACTATAAATATACTGTAATTAAAATTTAGAGTGATTTTCTCCAAAGATAATGGACTCTTTTCATGAAGAAGTTAAAATGTTACTATCAATTTCTATCGAGTCCTTTTTAGTGTCAAAAAATTATCTTATAGTTAATTAACGGTTTAAATCATAACAAATTTTCCAAGTACCAGCCATTCATCGAAGAAGTATCACATATTGTTGTTTCTAAAACCATTTATTTTTATTAGAAAAGGTGTTCTTTCTTACTATTAGTATTTTTAAGAATTCACATCTTTGCCAGTTGCCACTATTGCAGCATAAAATGACGTATAAACATATATATTGATGATCTCAATTCTAGTAGTAAATTTCTAATAACAAAATATATCATAGCATAATGTGATAATGCCACTATATAAAAAGAAATTCGGTATAGTCTAAATTTTAATTAAACATTAAAATTGATTAAACAAAATAAAAGTCGTATAGACTGATTAGGCGTATCTTCAAGTAATCAAGTTTTCTATCGATGTTATAATAGTACTGCTTAATGTACAAAACTGCTGAATGATTCATTAGTTATATAGATAGTAGATGTAATAAAAAATGTAGGACAAATCGAATTTATAAATTATATACAAAAAGGAGAAATTCAAACAGAGTTATTCGATAATAATTGGAGGCAAATGGAACCACGATGAGCGAAGTCATGGGAAGAATATCGAGTAAAAGAGTGTATTATACCAAAAAAAAAATAAAAAAGAAGAGAATATAGTCAGATATTTTGCCTATTCATCAATTAAACAAAAAAAAACTGAATTAGATGCTGATTCGAGCTAATCTTAAGTCCTAACTCCTAAGTTGTCGGGAAGAAAAGTAGCTTCCATCAAGCATTGACATTAAAGTCCACGGTAATAACATTATAATACATGACTAATAAAGTAGTAATGTAGTATATAGCACCTGTATTATATCTATGCCTCTTAAGAAATTGAGTACATGTAAAGTATGTCAGTGAGTAAGATATTGGTAATAAACCAGTGAAACTGGAAATTACAACCAAACAAACCTAAAATATATATGGATCGCATAATCACACAAACTTTCAAATTTCTTACAGCTATGTACAAGAATCCTGCACTGATTTTATAGGTATATATGTACGTAGAAAACACATATAACAATTTTATGAGATAAAACTCTAGAACTTCTATATGAGATTTCAACTCCATTGCGGAAATGCGTTATAATAACTAGACGCAGACGCAAACACGAAATTGTGATGAGGCTTTGGAGGGAGGAAAGCGTCAAAAGAATTGGTTGTAGTAGGAGAGAGTGTTGCGGTGGCGGTTGTTGATACGTTTGCGTCGGGGATGTTAACGGTTGTGATGTCGTGAATGCTTGATCGCCGTTTGTCTTTACAATCAGTGAGCTGTCGAATGAAATATTTTTGAGCGTGTGAAGCGACTTGCGTCGGCGTTCGAGTCGTCACAAAGTTTTTCGCTATGTTTCTCCAATCTCCTTTTCCGTATTTCTTCAAACCCATTAGAAATAGACTGAAAAAACAAAAGCAATGTTATATAGTATTTAATTAATTAAATTCACATAAGATTATATGAAAAAAAAACTTAAAAGATCAAATCCAAGTGAAGATTTAAAGTATTCAACCAAAGTAGTGATAAATTGTTATACCTAGTAGAAATCGTTGGCGATTTATGTTTTATAAACGAAGGATTAGATCCAAAAAAATTCAAGTATATTTTTAAACAAATACCCTAATATACAACAAAAAAAATTGATTAGTTTGAATGTTGTGGTTAAAATTTTAAATTACCACAAACGATAGGTATGGGTTCCTAAAACTTTGATAAGTGTGGTCTGGAAAGGATTCATAAGAAACTTTTAGATTTGGTGGTAATTTAAAAATAAAACTTAAAATGTGTTATTTGGAGTATAATTTTTTTTTTAAAAAATCAAGTCAAAATAGTGAAAAAGTTAGTTATTACCGGTGTTCTTCCTCGGTCCACGGAACTCCTTTTTTCCGTTCCTTTTCCGGCATCGGAGGCCTAAAGTAATCCATCGTCGCCGGCGAACTCCTCTTCCCTCCGACGACGTAATCGTAACCGTAACCGTAACTAGGGTTCTCTAGCCCAAAGAAGTAGTCACTGGTGGTTCCGGAGGAGGTGTCGCCGCCGTATCCCGGAATGGGGACAAGTCCGGCCTCGATGTCGCTGACGTCATCCTCCAGCTCCTTGTATCGTTTAATGACGTCACCTACGGTTTTGCCGGGGATTAAAGCGGCGATTTTGGACCAGCTCTCTGGATTGTCTTTGTCGTCGAGAAAGGCGAGAGCTTTCTCGAACCGTTTGTTTTCCTCAGCCGTCCACGTGGATTCTCTGACTTCTTGGAAAATCCAGTTTGTGTTCTCCGGTGAAAAAAACTCGAACCCTCCGTTCGTCGACGACATAACTAGCTCCTCCTCTATTTTTCTTTTAAATCTTAAAGAAAGAAAAACAAAGCAAAGAGAGAGAAAGAGAGAGGGAGAGAAGGAAGAAGAGAATCAATGGCTTTTTGATTGACTCTACGGAGTCTCGAGTGACCGATAAAAAAAAAAAGGTTGTTCTTCAGGATTTTATCGAGGAAATTATTACAAAGAGAAAATAAAACAGAGCATAAAGTGGATCTCTTTGGTCGCAAACGAAAAAACAAAAGTGGATCTTGCTTTTAATTATTTCTTTCTCTACATTTCTCGTGATGATCAAGAGGAATACACTACATTCAACAAGAAAAGGTGTAGAAAAAAGTAAGATATTTTGATTTAACCAGAGAGATATCTAAACTTTTACCTATGTCAAATCATTAATATTTATTAATTTAGTTAGCCGGCCAATAGATATACGACAACTCCTTCCTTGGTAATATTATTATATATGCCCTTTTTTTTCTTTGTAAAAACTCAAGGCCAGATAAATTCGCTTAGTATGGGTTAATCTTATTTGATAATTAGCAGATTTGTCTTATGCTATATAAAATTGATATAGGATTAGACTAACCAAATGCACGTGTCGATTTATGAAAGAAAGTGTAACATAATTTGTATTTTATGACAAAGAAGTTGTGACCAATCAAATGAAAAAGACCAGAAAACGACTGTTCAATGGTTTGGCCGGTTCTTAATTCGTATAGTTTAATCTACAACTATTTAATAAAAGAGCCCATTTTTTGTTGTCAACACGAAATAGCCCATTCAATGTTTTAGTTGTATTACAAATACAACAATTAAGACACATAATAACACAAACATAGGCTAAACAAAAATATACAAAGACAAGTTGGAATATTCGACCTTTAAAATATGTAATTTAAATAACTGATTAAGTTGTAACCGTGATACTCGGCATAAGTTTAAAGTTAATTGAAGTATGTTATACCATGAAATCTAAAAGTATAAAATATTAAATAATAATTAATGTTTAATTTTAGCAACAAATTTTATGTTTCTGCAGTATGATACTATGATCCAACATTATTGTACCATCACAGTATTTTTGTACTCGATCCGTTTCACATAAAACACCGATACGAAAGTCCAGTATTGATTGTTGCCAAAATAAAAGAAAAAAAAATGTCCAGTGTTGATAATCCTATATTTTTGCTGAGATTGTTTAACGACGATGTCGAACTCGTGGCTCACAAAGAATTGAGTTCAAATATTGTCTCCTCTACTTATTATCTTCTCCAAATCTGGCTATGTAATTCTCTCCACCGAAACTTTTTAGTCCTAAAAAAAAAAAAAAAAAGAAACTTTCTAGTCCTACCGTCACGATGAAAAGCATAAAACTAGTTAACACGAGTTAACACGAGTAATAAACACACACACATATATATATATAGTTACTACTTTTTAGTAAATTATGAACTTAGTTATCTAATTCGACCAAATAATGCCATTGGATTCCTAGTTTTTGCCATTGTTAAATTTTAGAATTCTTCTACCGAATGAAAAGATGCGAATCAAACGAGGGGGTTCGGAAGTATACTATCCAATATATACATTGAATACTTCGATTTTTCAATAAATTAACATAATCTAGTGATCCCATTGTACGAATGGGTTAGGGGATGAACATAAGTTAAAAAGCAATTCAAAAGAAACCCGGAAGAGAGCTGTTGGTGGCAAGTAAGGAATGACCAAGGATATTTTAGAATAATAAGAATTAAACACTGTTTATTATATTCCTGCATATAAAGACATTATGAAGCGCATATATATATATATATATATATATATGTTAAAAAAAACGCATATGTGTTGATTGCTCCCACTGTAAAAAAAAAACTTTATTATAATATCTCACCACTTCATCTGGGCGGTACCACAGCTCCACTTTTGCCAATTATATGATATAAATTGGTAAAAGTATAAAGCATTGCATATACAATTATAATAGCCAACAGTACTAATATTATCACAAACTCATAACTTTTTACCTTTCAAAATTAATTACTTAAAACACATAAACGAAAAATAATACAGTAAAACCTCTATAAATTAATAATGTTGGGACCATGATATTTTATTAATTTATCGTGATATTAATATATTTATAAATTAATAATTATTAATTTATAGAAAAAATTTGCTTTCCGCATATAATTTTCTAAAACTTTTTTGAAATAATATTATATTTTAAAATTTTAATAAATCTCATAATATAAATTATAATTAAAAATTATAACTATCACAATAAAATAGTTTTAACAATATATTATATTTTCCATATAAAAATATACATGTTCATAAGTTTAAAATTTATAAAAAACCATAGCTATTATTAGTATTGTTGCTAATAAAATTAAAGATAACATTATAATGCATTTAAAAATATTTACAAGTAAGAAAATCAATTATCACATAAAAAATTATCATAAATTTTGATTGTATATAGTAAAACAACAATAAGAGCTACTGATATAATAAGTAGAGAGATAGAAATCAATGAGATTTCAACTTTAAGTAAAAACAAACACATTAGTCATATTTTAAAATATTATATTTACATACATTTACATAAATTTATATAATTATTAATTTATATTTTTGTTAGGACTATATATTTAAATAATGGTTTCAAAAAAATTATTATCTTATTATCTTATCGAATTTGATGGATTTTTACATTGGCCTAAGACCAACAAAATTTATTAATTTATAGTAATTATTAATTTATCGAGTATTAATTTATATATGTTCTACTGTATATTTAATTTTAATAATATCGAGTTATATGTAATAACATGTCCATGTGTTCACGATAAACGGCTTAATTAGTTCCTTTATTTTAAAATATGTACGTTATATATAATGAACGTATATTTTTGTTAACGTGAACGTATGAATATTAGAAGATGGAAATATAGTTTCTCCCTTAATAGTCAAACTAAAATTACCCGTGTAAAAAAAAAAGTGCATGATTACTTAATTAGATTCAATAAAACACACCAGAAAGTGGTTAACATTAATTATTGTAGGAGTATTAGGAATATAAAATATGGTAGGGACAGCAAAGGAATGCTACACAGAATTTAAGGTGTCACATGCATGGAACAACAACACACAAATTTGAAGCGTAAATTGTGTCGTCTGCTGATTTGTATCAGACACAAGTTCTGTCGACGGAGAGTGACATCTTCTTGTATTCTATATTTAGCAAGATTCTCTTACTATAATTAGTAAATAATCCATTTTCTGTCAAATTTATTACTCTTGCTTCGTTTTATTTAATTTCTATCCATTTTATTAGGAGTGTGTGTTTCGTTTTTTTCTCTTTCCCGTTTTTCACTATTGGATATGTGACATTGCACCTAATTAATAAAATTCAACGACCGATAAATTTTGCGGTGATAACGAATTTTGAAAGAACATTTTTTCGTTTTTTTTTAAATATTATTTTACTGTATAATCCAGTAGACACGTTTAAACTTCTAGGTGAATGTTCGATGTACAACGTATAAACATTATTGTTTTCTACCAACTAACAAATACTTTTTATTCAATATTGTCCGCAAATTTGTTCAGCAATAATTGTGATCTTTTTTCTTTAATTATCATCCAAACTGTAATTTTAATTTGTCAATTCTGCGTGTCTATGTTCGTTAAAGATATATTGAAAACTATCTTTAATTTTAATATCAAATATATTGTCAATACTATAAAACAATTCACAACTAACGAATTAAATTAGATAAACTTTTGATCAAACAGGACGACGATTTAATGTTTTTGTTCTTTTTAACGAATCAAAATTAGTTAAAAGAAAACTATTTTTTTTTTTTAAATGGGATCATTCGCACATATTACTTTACTGGCAACTGGTCTATTATTTGGGGAAAAAGTTGGTGAGTTTTTCCACGATATTTTTGGTATTACAAAAAATGGTGAGTTTAAAAAGGACTATTGTTTTCAACATTTCATTAAAGCGTAACGCAATCATACAATGACTTTGTTGACATTTTGCTAAGCATAAGAATATCAAATTGAAAAGAATCATTTGATTAAAAAAATAATGTTGGAGTATTCAACATTTGGGAAGATCACTTGGAGGAGGAAGAATTGATTGGTTTGGGCCTTTACCATTCTCCACCAAGAATGCCATCTTTAGTCCCCATGTTGTGTGTACTTCTAAATGGCAATGCATAAACCAAACTCCTGCAACCACATGTATACACATATTATATCAATTTATAACTATTACTAATTGTAACCACTATATTTTATACACATACTCGATATCACGACTCTAACTTTTAAAATAGTCGTTGACTTAAGAAACAAAAAAAGCCAGATATTATTTATCGTCAGAGAAGCATAACCAAAAAAAAAAAAGAGGTTGTGATAAACTTGAAGGACGTCCGTAAATTTTAGTTATCTAAACTTAATCAGATTATATATGGTGTCAAAACTTTTTTCTTTTCTAAGCTGTAGAACCAATCTCATTATGTAGTATATAGATTTGAGACAAAATTCTGTTTTATTTTGGGTTGGTTATTCGGTTAAGGAAGAAGAAAACTGAAACATACTTTGGTTCTTTCTTTGGTTATAATTTGGTTATATGATTGAACTAGATAGATATATACTGTACGTCTGTACCTGGGTTATCTGCTCGGAATCTGATCGCCGCCCAACCACCGGAAGGCACTCCGACGGTATTTCTCTCCACCGGATCAACAAGATTAAATTTCTTAGAATCTTTCTTGGAGTTATAATTCCCAGATCCAAGTCCAACCACAAAGAAATTAAACCCATGAAGATGAATCGGATGGTTTTCCGGCGCCACATTTCCGGTATCCTGCAGAACAACCTGCACCGTTGAATTGTACGGAAGCTTGTAGAGCTTTGTGGCCTTCATGGTTGCTAAATTGGAAGGTGGTTTTCCGGTGAAATCGAAAAACCGGCGTGGTTTAGCAGGGAAATCGGTCGTATAGATTCCGGTTAGGTTAAAGTAATGTGCTTGAAGCAGAGCCGTTTTAGGCATCTTGAATGTAATGTTGTTTATGGCGGCGACGACACGTGAAAAGTTTCCGGCTTTACAGCTGTGACAACGGTTGATCCCTAAACCGACTGTGAATAGCAGATCGTGATCGACGGTGATCGGAACTTTAGCCGGATATGTGATTGAGTTGAGACTCCGGAGGGAATTGACGAACGAGTTTGCGACGGAGGTTGCGTTTTGAGGAGGCGGCGAAGTGGTTTTAGTGGCTGTGGCGGAGAATGTGCCGGAGTAATGTACGGTGGCGGTGGCGGTG